ATAGGAAACAGTTGGCCGAAAACCGAATGCCGAAAGGCCGAAAATGATTAATATATATATATATATATATATATAAAAATATATATATTTATTTTTTTATGAGATCCATTTGTGGCGGATGATATTTAATTGTGGCGGCCCGCCACAAATAAATCAATGTATGGGAAACACTGCATATATTAGGACCCCAGAGGCTCACAGTGTACAGTATAGTTGCATCTCATCACCACTCCTCAACCCATTTGTGTTTTGATTGCTCCTGATTGTCTCCTGTCCCCAGTCTCATTAGCTAAGATTTGCTCTATTTTTATTTTCCCTAATGATCAGTTTGTTCGACGGCGCTATCAGTGGTTTAGCAGCAGAGAAGCTTCAGCTGCCTAGTGCATCACTAAGAGTGTGAGTGTTTTTATGTTATTGGTTATATGTGATTGGACCTATACACGCACGCTGATACAGTGGGTGTCATCCCTATCACACCGGCGTCTGTCATACATAATTATTTGATGCATCTATGAAAAGATTTGCGTTTCAATGAGCTCAATAGCTTCAAAGACAGAATTCACAAATACCTTACGCAACACTTTGATATGTTTTAAAAAAAAAAAAAATTCTAAGTCAAGCACACACGCGAATGTGACAAAATAGATGTCAGTAAAATGTAGGACTATATTTTATTAATATCATTGTGATTATTCTTGCCACAGAAATCTATTTGATATATGGTTGAATATCAATTGCTTAAAACATTTTCATGTTCATGTTTTTCAATTATAGTCTTAACAAGTCAAAACTTAAACAATAATCATATCTTCTTTAGGATTTAGTTATACAAAAGGACCTCTAAATATTGGAAGTATGCCTGCTCCCCTATAAAATAAAAGCTCAAAACATAACCTGGTTGCTGTTGCATCTAAACATGACCTCGTAATGTACATAACAATTGCTTCCTTATTCTGTTTTATGGTTATGATTAGCAGGAATGTATATTTGCTTTTACATACTTTGACACTACAAACAGGCTTTTGGAAATGTATTGAACATCATCTTGCGGAGTGATACTATTTTGGTACTTGGTATTGTTTCTTGATTCAAAAGCTGTGTGTCTGGGCAGTGTCTGCAGACTTTCCAAAATTAGCACATGAGAAGAAGCACAAACTTGCTTCTATAAATACACATTCAGTTCCCATCTCTGTTGGCATTGATTGACTGTGGATTAACTGAGAAGGGTTTCTGTCAGCCAGAGATTTGATGGAGATTCAAACCAACTGGTCTCCTCCAGTTTAAAAGACTGAAACATGGCCATATCCACATGTTCTTAAATTTTTATAAAGCTTAACTAAAACGAGAGAAAGATGGCAGTGAAGCTCACTAATAACTACAGCTATTAGATAATAGAAATAATAGGATGTTAAAGATGACATTTCTGCCCCCTATTGTACATTCTTGTGTGTTCTTCATTTCTTAGTTAACAGATTATGTTGATTCCAGTTTACCCAATCAAACCTTGACACCTATATGATGCGGGATAACCTTGATTAATGATGCTAGTTTTATTCATGAAGGATGTAATGTGCTAACTAATCAGATCAAATGATGAATGGCAACCTGCTTCTTTTAACATAATGGCTCATGGTAAACAACTTCTTACCCACAGCCTTGAGCGTGGCGTACGTGTTGAAGTCCTGTACCGGCTGCTGCGGCTCGTACGGGCTGGTGAGGGGACCCACGGCCGGGTACAGCTGCGTTAGCAACGTCGCTGCGTGAGCCGCGTTGTTCATCTGGTTTCTATCTAAAGGAGGGGAAACACAAGTTGTTAAAGCAAAAGTCCATGGTTCATGTATTTATTTATTTTAAATGACAACATATGGGAATTTTGTTTGAAGTGCGGTAATTCTTTGGTTTTTTTCCTTTACTTTTTTTTAACTTTTATTCCCTTAATAACGGTTACAAAAATGCTTTCCATCTGCTATCTAAGGCTGGTGCTGCATGCACATTAAAATCATGGTGGGAAAAATAAAATGTATACTGTACTGTTCATTGTACAGTAATTTCAATATAATAAATGTAGAAATAAAGATGTTAATCTACATGAGATATAATCAAAATAATAATAAACAAAGTGGAATTAATTTCACCAAATATATTTATTAAAGATAAACTTCTTGAGATGGGTGATCTTGTTTTCTAGGGGGTTCTACACATAATACAAACAATTGATGCAACAACATTAAAGTGGCAAACCACGACAACAATTAAAGGGGTAAATAAACAGACATAACCAGATAAAATACACAAAAGTTATTAATTGTGTCTCTCTCTTGGTAGTGTCACTTTCCTTTTAAGAAGGCTTTTCTGGGGACCCAGCTGGAGAGTCATGACTGCTCTTTGTGAAACTGTACTAATCCTACAGTAGACATCTGGTAAATTAAGGGGTGCACAGCAGAGAGACTGGCCCCCTGCCTACTGGCATGACACAGCAAACAGATGTTCAGAGTGTCTTCTCTGGAGGACAAGACTTGAACGTACTAATTCACAGGCGACTGTTTGAAGACTGCCACATGTGCTGTGGCTTATATTAATACATCTTAGTATAAATATGGACATGTTTATGGCCTAACACCTCATGCGTTTAGCTTGATCATTCATTTATTATCTTTTTTTTTTTTTTAAAGTACTGGAACGGTGGAATACAAATGTTAAGGCAGACATGAAACAATTAAAATATATGTGATTTTACTAGCCATTCAGATTTGGCTCACCATGCTATGCCAGATGCAAGCTCATTAAAAAATACCGCCGCCTGTTGTAACCTTTTGGTAATTATTTAGATTTGTATATATATATTAAATCCTGAAACCAATCAATATATCAAACTCTCTGAAAATAAAAGTCTGATTATGAACAATAGCCATGATAGGTGTTCACGTTCATTATGATACATTTGGGAGAGTGGCTTCGAAGAGATGGGCTGTCATTATTGCCAACTAAGCACTTTTTTCGTTAGATTTAGCGACTTTTGGAGCTAGTGCTGCTAGCTACTTTCAGACCAGTCGTCCCAGTCTGCTTTGAGCTGGCTGGCTCTGTTGTGATATGTCAACCGGACAAAACATGTCCATCAACTCATCACTGCTGTTGTTAATGGTTAAAGTTTACAAACTTTAAATTGTGGAGAGTTTTTGGTCTAGAAAGTGTCTGATAAAAAAACAGATAATTATTACAGAAATAGGTTAATTAGGCTCTTATTTCCCCACTGGTCAGCAAGAAACTTTGATACTGTGCTAATTAATTTGGAAAGTCTCAAATTATCGATGCTGTCTCATGAAATGATGCAGAGGACAGCCACACCTCAACAAGCAGGGGGTGTAATGAGTAATATCCCAGTCCAAGGTCATTTAAGGTATCACTGTGTTCTTCTTAAGTTAAGACTGTCATTGTAAAAATATCCTGTATCATCAAGTTTATTTAAAGCCTTATTAAAAACTATTGAGAAGGACAGCGCAGCACGTCAGTAATGGTGTTATCTTAATACACCCTCACTACATATTTTGTAATTCTTGATGCTAAATGCAAAACACAAATCTCCAAAAATCTAAAAGGACATCTCTGCATTAGTTTGCCAGCTTCCTTTCTGGGCTTGTTGACCTGTTTCAGTTTCATACAATTCACCATAAATGGGCCATGCACACAGGCTGTCATTCAATGTGATCTTGTTTAAGCTTTCCATTCGAATTAGATCTGCTCCCATAGAGCGTGAGTGAATGTACTTGACTTGTAATTTACTGAACTAGGATGATGCACTATAAATACTGCGTTTTAGTAAATCCTATGTTTGTTTCCAAAACATATATATAGATTTGTTTAATCTTTGGATGCATGGATTGATACGTGAATGGACTTTATCGATCCTAAATTGGGCAAATATTTTTGTTACAGCAGTAAGTACCAAGGCATTGCACATTGAGCTTATTAAATTAGCTCAATGAATCAGGGAAATTCTTCTTTTATGCATGGTTCTGAAGTAGGCTATAGCTATTTGATTTGTCGCTTGATCTTTGTGATAAACTCCAGTCAAGGTCAGGGTATGCCTTAAGAGTGGTGCAGGGATGATGTATTTTTGTAGGCCGACCCGGAAGTAAGCTGCGCATGGGTTCCCTCGACAAAAAAATAACGGGATATCTCCATAGGATTTTGGAATATTGTAAAAAATAAGATCTGTGGAAAACGATAAATGCACGTTTTGTTCAGCCGGATAATCTCCACATGTCTACCCTACTTTTATATTTTCTAATCATAAATCTATAGATAAGATCCCTGCACCACTCTATTATGTGTGCCATTTAAACTACTATCAGCAGGAGGGCGGGGGAGCCTCGCTGCGGGGAAGCAGTGTGTGGACCTGTCAGTGCAACTTACATGATGCCGAATTTAACAAACACATTTAAATAATTGGTTTAAACGGCATAATAATGACGATCGTCCGTTCTGTGATTCTCCAGAGAACACACGTTATGATATTAGGGTCATGCAGAGTGAGATGAGATCGCTGTCCCTTTAAGAGAGAGAGAGAGAGNTGTTATCAGCGTGCCAACGATCGAGAATTATCAACGGGGGGGGTTGAGGAGCTTGACGCTCGTGAACTATCAGCAGGAGGGCGGGGGAGCCTCGCTGCGGGGAAGCAGTGTTTGGACCTGTCAGTGCAACTTACATGATGCCGAATTTAACAAACACATTTAAATAATTGGTTTAAACGGCATAATAATAAGGACGATCGTCCGTTCTGTGATTCTCCAGAGCACACGTTATGATATTAGGGTCATGCAGAGTGAGATGAGATCGCTGTCCCTTTAAGAGAGAGAGAGAGAGAGAGAGGGGTGTGGCTTGTGCATGTGTGTTTGTGGATGGTAGAGCGACAGTGAGGGAACGTGTGTATGTTTCTGGAAGTGAAAACGAGGAAGCAGAAAAACAGAGGTCTGATGTATTTTGTGAAACAGAAGAACAGCTAAATAAATGCAATGGCCTCCCAAGAAGTGCTCGCCTCTCTCCAGTCATTTAAGCTAAAGTGGGTTATCGAACCTGAAGCTTGTTGCTTCTGCCCTCCTCGACTACGGTCTGGGAGCCGACAGGAAAGTTCAACACACAGATGGCCAGTCCGCCCCTTTGTAGCATATTATTTCGATGAGAAATGAGCAGATCGCCACTGGGCTTTCAACTAAATACACAGCCACGCAAAAACTGCGGCGTTTTTACAGCTCCTTATGGGTACTGCAATTAGTGAAGTGCTTTCCTCCGTGGTGAAACGATCAGCACTGCACCACGGAGGAAAGCGGCAGAAAGTCACCGGGAGATAAAGAGAGCGGGGCTGCGTTGCGTGCACGGCGTCCTTCTGCAGGTAACGGGGAGACGCCTCTGGCGGCGGTCTCGTTCAGGATCCGAAAATACAATTTAAATATTTTTGCACACTTATTCCACTTATTCCTAGTGTGCCACTGGTTACGGTGCCGCGTGCCAGGGGTTGCCGACCCCTGCTCTACTGTGACATGTCTATATGCTTTAATGTTTAAAGAGTGCCTTATTTGCACCTCTTTTCACCCTCTGTTTGAAACCGGAGCCCAGTCTGCTCTGATTGGTTAGCTTGCCAGCCCTGTTGTGATTGGTCAACCACTTACAAATGTGTTGGATGTGTCCCGCGCCTTAAGGTCCTTACACACCAAGCCGATTTTCGGCGTCGCTAGATGTCTAGCCGTCGATGAGCGTCCTGTCGCCCTACTCAGATTGGTGTGTCCCGCCCCGTCGTGTCTTTTCGGCCGGCCGACACCTTCCGCCGCCAATTGAAAATGTTGAATCAGGAGGCTGTCGGTAAAAGGCCGTCGGCAAAATAAATCACTCTGATTGGCTGTTCAGCTAGCGAATCAGTGCATGAGAAGCGAAACGGAAGTGAGGGACCCAAACAAACGATTAAGAAGGCACATCTGATATTTCATTTAACTCCAGCTCTCGACACAGGTTCGGGAAAGCCCCATGAGCTTCTCGCTGTAGAGTGAAAATGGAACACACACGCTATTTGTTGTTTGTTTATATCACGCAGTCTGCTCTTCTTCTCTCTGTGTATCACGCAGTCTGTCTCCGGTTGTTGCCTCTTTTGAATGACGAATACACACTACCGCCGCCTGCTGGTAAGGAGAGTTATTGCTACTCATGCATGCGCAGTTCATACGTGCTACTTGGCCATCGGCTGAAGTCTTTGCGGTGCGTCTTGACTGTTGGCCAAGACGCAGGAGACGTGAGGCGACACAACAGTCAGGTTCGTCGGGACGTGTTCTTTGGTGTCAGATTGGTGGGGTCCTTACACACCAATCTGACACCAAAGAACACGTCCTGACGGACGGATTGAACACACAGATTGGTGTGTCTTCTCATGCACCAATCGCTAAGCTGAACAGCCAATCAGAGAGATTTATTTTGCCGACGGCCTGTTACCGACAGCCTCCCGATTCAACATGTTGAAGGTGTCGGCACGGCCGAAAAGACACAACGGGGCGGGACTCACCAATCTGAGTAGGGCAACAGGACGCTCATCAACGGCCAGACATCTAATGACATCTGTCGACGCCAAAAATCGGCTTGGTGTGTAAGGACCTTGCACATACAATGTGTTGAAGCGCTAGCCTATAGAAGCGCGATTGTTAAATAGAAGCAAACAAAGGAGTCCAATTGAGGAGTTTCAGGCATGGGGGGGGGGTTTGTGGTAGAGTGTGTACTTTGGGATTTTAGCCTTTGCGGAGCATTTAGATTCACAAAAAACAATATAACACCCTTCAGGAAAGGGAAACTCAAAAAAGCACAATAGGAAAGACGCTCCCAATGGTTATGATGATGTACAACTGTTTTGCATCTCTGTTACCTAACATTTCCTTCTATACATGGTCAAAAAGGGAATACATTTAAATACAGTTAATACATGAGGACATTGTTTTTGTGAATATCAGGTGTGACTTTTCTATTTTCAGGATGCCAAACTCCATTTCAATCTGGGTGCTGATGTTTGTACTTGTTTGTCTCTTTAATCTTTATCAGACTTTGTGTTGACGGAGTGTCTGTTGTGCTTGTACTGTTGTCAAAGTCACAGCTTTTTTTGTCAGCTACTGGAAGAAAGTAGGCCACTGCTGGAGACTTGTAAGGTTAAAGACTCCATGGTTGTTGTGGGAAATCAGCGAGTTAACGCTCCAGACAGAGACATCACCCTGGAACTCATAAAATATTTAATAGGGTATTTTGGGAACTGAATGCCCCAAAATAAATGGTACAAGGAGAAGGGCGCTGTTATTTACAGGCAGCCTACTTTCAAGTAGGTGATGAAATTATTCTATTATCTTCGACTCCAAGACTGTGGGTCAATATCTTTAACTTTCTGTCAGACTCAAGAAACTCAAAAATTACATTTATAAGGTATGTGCATGCATTATTGATAATAATTAGTTTATATAAAATGTACTTAAACCCATAAACATTGTTTTTAATTTGATTATTAGTTTAAAATAGTAGTCATTTGCTTTTGCAAAATTAACAGGTTTATCCGTGGTCTCATTGTTAATTGTAAAGACCATCAACCAATTTTCTGGCCTGCAGTGGCGTTATTGATTTTTATTGTTATTTGTAAATGTCATTAACGTTGGTTTTAATGTAATTCCATTACCCTTTTACAATCTGATACAAATGAGATACAAGACAAGGCTAATAATCTGTACGGTCACTTTCTAATTTCATAATCTTTGAAACAACCCATGTGTCTCTTTCCAAATGTCTTCCAGCTCTCTGTATTGTCAGTCTGTAATGACTTCCTTCAGGTTTTAGGGCTTCAGTAGACAGTTGAGTGCAAGGCAGGTGGAAAATAGACCCGTCAGTGGACTGCTACATTTGGTAGCAAATTATCAGATGCTGTCAGAGGTAATGCTGCAGAAATACATTTCTATCTGGCAGTGAGGAAGTGGACTGTTATTCACCGGCGGGGTGTTGGCAGTGAGTGGAGACTTTGTTCTCTTTGGCTGACTGCCTGGAGTAAAAAGAGGCCACACTTGACAATTGCCCCATGTAAGCACATGGCCAGAAAGACATGAACGCAATAGTACTGGTGGCCAAAGAAGCCCAGCACACATAATCTGTATAATTGGTGTCTTGAGGAGAATGAGAGCTCATAGCCCAGTCTAACAGATGTTTGTTATCTTTGACAGGCAATGAATGAGGAGCAGTCTCCCTTTTGTGCATTTCAATCACTGCTTCGCCCCACTATTCGTATTATACAGCTCCTATAGCTGGGGCATAGATACACCTGCCACTATGAAGCACAGCTGGAGAGGAGGTAAAGGACGGGTCCATGTGCTAAAAAATCTCCTCACCTCTTGTAACCCTGTAAGGATGCGGTCAAGAATACAACAATCATCCCTGTGCTGTCGCCAACTCTATTACACAGAATCCCTCCATACATCCATGTAAGATACAGCAGCCAGCACACTGCCCAAGTCAACACAAAGGGAGAGCTACATTTTACATTTCATATATTCTGAAATAGCACATATGAATGAAACATACAATTAAGTAATTTTCTGGCTTGTAGCTTTTCTTATCTTCATACCCCAGTCATACACCTTATAGTGTCCCAATAAATGACTCCAGGCCCTGGTGCTAAAACCCATCTCTAATGGTTAGACCCAAATTATGTCTCTTAATTGGGCTTCCTTATTAAAAACTAATGTTTACATGGCACTGTATTGTATTGTTGTTATATTGCCAATAGTTAATGAGTGAAGTGTGTGTGTATATATATATATTATATATATATGCATTTTATTATACCCTGAAAAAAAGACTACAGATGAATTGAGGTGAAAGCAAACATATAACAATTGTCATATGTAAAGTTATTTTCTGCCTCAAGTTAGAGTCACTGAGGTGAGACAGCTGTAACATTTTTTAAAGCAATTATATTTTCACTACGGCATTGACATTTTGGTGAGGTGACTTCACATATTTTACAGTACAACGATCTTAAGTGTTATCTTAAAGCTTTGATAATTGTTCTTTCATTTACGCAGGGACTTGCAGTATGTTAAAGACTCCAGCAATGTTTTATTGAATCATACTATGAGTTATCTTATACAATAGTTATATATAATACTGTAGATAGTACTAAAGAAGGAACCCTCCGGAGAATCTGTCCTAATGTGTTGGCTTGTTTTTAATGAACTGATCATTATTCTGCTATGATCTGATTAATTATTATGATCATGCTGCCACTCAACTCAGCTGGTCATAGGGAGTAAAACATAAGCTCATCACAGACATCTACCTCTTAAAATAGACTGCTTTTGAATTTCTGATGTTGGTTATGTTTGAAGTTCAATTTCTCACTTCAGATATATTTATAGTACACATGACAGGATTGTAAACATGTAAATATAAAGGTGTAAAGCACAGGGGCTCTTTGGAAGCAGAAGATCACAATGGAGCAAAAATAAAGCAATGCGTCCAATTATGCTCATTTTCAGGATCATATTTGTATTTTGTCCCTCTGCTCTGACCTGCTCTGACCTAAAGCTCTTTATTTTTCTCATACTGCCTGTGCTGCAGCACCTCTTTTCACCCTCTGTCTGAAACCAGAGCCCAGTCTGCTGTGATTGGTTAGCTGGCCATCTCTGTTGTCATTGCTCCACCACTTAGAGATGTCCCACCCCTTAACCTACAGTATCACTTACAATCTGTTTACAGCGTGTTTGTTACATAATGACGTCACTATGTCACATAAGTAAACTCCCTCTGGAGGGAACTTTGGGATTTTAACCTTTGCAGACCATTTACATGCACAAACACCTACTGTATATAACACGCTATAGGAAAGGGAAAGTCCCCAAAACCATAACAGAGTGGTTTGATTTAATAACATATCTACAGTCTAGTTATTTGAATTCTCTAGATGTTTGCAATGATGGGAAGCACTCATCAAGAATAGTTTTTTGAGAGAGATATTTTTAGATAATTTCTGCTTGTGTTTTTGCATCAAAACATTGTGGAGCGTATTTCTGGATTTGCAAAGAATGTATACATTTTAGTGGGATCATTTGAATTACAGGAATTACAGTGTCCACATTGAAACTGCTTGAAAATATTTGCACAACTAAACCCAGGCTATGTACAGGAGACAATAAGAGATAGGCAGTCATCTGCCATGTGTGCAAAGAAAATGAAGGTGTTCATGTGAGCCTCAGATTACACCAGGTGTTTTCTCTGATTAGCAAACCTCCCAAGCTAATCAGTGAAATCACCTGCTGTAATATTCTGTTGTAATAAGAACACGCTAACTTCTGGCCTTCCATGGCACGTGAATTATCACTGAAACTGATTTGCATCTTAAGCAAATGAAGCTTCTAGATTAAGGGAAATCAGTAGCTTTAAGTTTATATATTCTAACTGAAGCTACAGCTGTAATTATTTCACTACATGATGCTTTGGACCTGATCATTATAAGGAAGTTTAAGTCGGTTTTTCAGCTAAAGCTGGTATTTCTGAATGATGCATGCAACCATTAAAATGCTGCTTGACGTTCTGTGAAACATTTTTAAATGTGAGATGCCATTTGCCATAATTATAATCCAGCTAGAGAGAGGCAAGGAGGCAGAGAAACCTTTATTGACTGGAGCTGTCAAGGCAGTAAGCAGGTTAGCATTTAATAAGAACAATTATTCTGCCTGTGTGTGTGTGTGTGTGTGTGTGTGTGTGTGTGTGTGTGTGTGTGTGTGTGTGTGTGTGTGTGTGTGTGTGTGTGTGTGTGTGTGTGTGTGTGTGTGTGTGTAGTGTACCGTGGGTAATGTGTGTGTGTGTGTGTGTGTGTGTGTGTGTGTGTGTGTGTGTGTGTGTGTGTGTTTTAATGTGTGAGGTCGTTGCATAAAATAAGTATTGGCTATACAGAAGAGATTCAAGTTGTTGGATTTAATTAGTGTACATGTTAAGTGATAGCTGAGGTCATGAATAATTGCTTGCGCATCCTGCACTATTGTGAGGCCTTTTTCCTTTTGGCGCTTCAAGTATTACAGGTTCCGCAAGCATCATTAGAGAATAGATGCAACCCAGTGGTTAAACCAGTGGTTGGCGGCTGGACTTTAATTCTTGCGATTTTTGTGCAGGGGTCATTTTAATTAAATCTGTTGAAAGCATTGACTACTAAGATCAATCTAGCGGTGTCACTTTAATACTTCCACTCTAAAGGCATTAACATTGGTGGATTGACGGAATAAATACTCACCTGTGAATGTGTATGTATTTTACTTGTATTGGGAAAAGTAGGTACACAAAGAATGGGTGAAGTATGTCTTTGTCAAGGTAGGAACTTTGTAGCTTGTTTTATTATCCTCATAAATATAAAAGCAACTCAACCTCATTCACACGATGGGATTGCTATGCCTTTATTCATGTTTTCAAAGCTCAGAAAAAGCAACCTTTTTAGAGGATAAAAACTCTTGGAAATAAATATACTCCTTCATGAACTAATGGCACAAAAAAAGCCCCAGTTGCGTAAAGACTTTTAAGTGACTTGTTCCTTATTTAGTTGTCCTCAGTTAGAAATAAACTGTCAACTATTTCTGTTCACAAACGGGGAACCCCACTGGTTTAAACAAACAACTCTGTCAATGAGTATGTAGGTGTACAGCTAACAGATTCTGTGCACTGCTTATGTTAGTACTTACGTAGACTGTTAAGTGTGACTCTTGTCTGGATATTCTCGTAGTGCTGGCCAAGTCCAATTTCATCCGTATGTTCTGAGGCAGGATGGCGGATAACATGTGCAAGAGCTCTGTAAAGATGAAGAACACTCTCAGAGATGACATTTTTTAGTAAATACCAAATGCATTCCGGCTTTTTAGTCCTTACAGGAAGTGCGTTGTTGAAATAGGTTGAAATCTAAGCAAGGGTCAAACATGACACAAAAGAACACTGGAACGTAAATTTGCCATAATGCAACTACAGTAAGTGTCTGTCTTTACACTCTCTCTGCCTCCTAAATTACCTTCATCACACCACCATGGCGTCATCAGGGTTCATTTATTTGGCTTGACACAGCTCCCGCCAAAACCACTGACAAGCGTTTAACAACAAATGTGTGTTTTCTATCAGACCTTAATTGTCCTTTTCAGTTGCTTTGCAAATTAGTTATGTTTCCAACTGTTGAGTGCTGAGGATATTTTTGAGAAGGATACATTACATTACATTGAAGGATACATTACATTGAATTTTCAGCCATATTTATGTAAGTACAGTACGTCCAAGAAATGCAACAGAGAGGCACATAGACTGGGATTGTGATAGTTATTCACAGTGTGGATTATGTTGGGAGCCTGTAGATCTAATAACATGGAACATACTCTCTCAAAGATTGACAATGAAATACACTGTCTGCACAAAGTGTCTTGAGTGATCAGCAAGAGAGTAGTAAACCTCTTTGTGTGCATTTGTAAGGTGTGTTTGAGGAAATATTTTCGCATGTCTGTGTATTAACCATCTAGAAGTGTTTGATGCATGGGCGTCACTTACAAAGCGACTTACATACATTCAGTAAAGTGGACAATCCCCACAGGAGCAATTTGGGGTGAAGTGTCTTGCCCTGGGACACAACGACATGCTGACTGCAGTGGGACTCGAACTAGCTACACCCTAATTCAAAGTCCATCACACTATCCACTAAGCCACAGCCTCCCATGTGAGTGCACTCACATGTTGTGAAAACAACAAGTCCTCCAACTCATACGACCAAATGGGCCGATTGTTCAGGCCCTTATTACGACCAAATATGTTGTTTGTTCAAGCGCTTAATACGTCCTATAATTACGTTTTAAAGTGTTCGCCCTCCAGTGCTCCCGTTGAATGCTAATGTTACAGATGGTCGTTTATTCACAAATAACCCTCTCTTTTTTCCGAGTGTTCTTGCTTTTCTCTTTGGAAGTCATCACATAACGGTATTGTAGTACACGCTTTGGCTGCATTAAGTATTACATATCTGCCGTAGATATTTATTTATAGAGCCCTGATCAGAAGACCTTTTGACAAACTGTAAGAAATGCCGCCAAAACTGAATACGTGACGTGGATCATAAATATATCAGCAATTTAAATATATCAGCAATTAAACAACATCTTCCATTTCTTTTCACACAATGCGTCTCCTAGCGGTATCAACACTAATTCGGCTGACTTTTATATTTGATCCAATTGGTAGATAGGCTGTATTTACACCATAACGGTGCACAGCTGATAGAAAGGGATTTTTTTGTAGTTTTTAAAGATATTATTTACTGAACTACGCCTTTCCAACTCCTCATGCAGTTGACTGTTACAGGTCTATACAGGTTCATGGTACAATGCATAAGCTTCAAACCGAGAGACTGAAACTGTATTTTCCTTTACCGTTCTGTTGTAATTTCACAATAAAGTTAATAGTCATTATGTTCATATTATTGTGTTTTATTAACTACACCACTGGTTTTTTAACCCGCACCGCCTAGTGGTTAAAGCACGTTATTGAATTTTGTTGTTGAATATGTTTTATTTGATGAAAACATTTCAATATTAAGAGTAGCCTACATACAAAATTGGGGGAAAGTAGAAGGCATGATAGAAATATAGAATATAAAATATCAAGAAGATACTGTAGTGATCTCTACAATAAAACAGTTTAGTGCAGGACGTCCAAAGATATTAACAGGAGGATGTGCAAAACAGACAGACTAATAAGGCTTTATTCAAACATTAAAGAATACTTTAAGTTAAGGTCTTCTTTTGAATAAGAAAAAAACGTTGGGGTTATCCAAAGATAAATATGAAGTCTGACACGTACTTAACTTAACGTCCAATATATTGCATAGTTTATTTTGGCACTTGACAATCACCTTCCCTGAATTTGACTCAGGTGTAACTAAAGTCTGATTTAAGGGTTGTTTATATTTCACATCATTAATCAGAATATGCAAAGTAACTAAAATAAATGTAGTGGAGTAAAAATACCAGGTTAACCTCTGAATTGTAGTGGAGTAGAACAAAGTAGTATGCTGCTGTAACAAAAACATTTCCCAACTTGGGATCAATAAAGTATATCTTATCTTATCTTAAGATGATTGATGGCTACTGCCATATTTGCACAATTTGCCTCTGAATCTTGACAAGTGCATGTTTCAGGCTTATCAATGAACCGGGGTGGACCCGGGGGCTGGACCCGTCCAATTCCAGTTTTGGAAAGTCTGCCGTGGTTCCATTCCATTTCAAAGAGCTGTTTGACGCTCAGCGTAGCCTTGTCGCACTGCCACTACAACACCCAATCACAGGGCCTGATGACTAATCACGGGGTTTGTAAAGCAAGGCGGATGTTGTAGTCCCAAACGATAGCTGCGGATTCTGGGTAGTGTAGTGTCTTCGGAAACTGTAGTGTCTAAATTCCGAAAAAACTATTTGTTTCTCTGAATCGAAGGTTAAAAACACAAAAGCATTGTACACAATTTAAACCAATCAATATTGTGTAATTAACAAGGATAAACTGATGTTTTTTAGTGGATGAGTAATGCAGATATCACTGTGTAATCATTTGACAGTGAGGGGAATATATCCGGTTTTATTATGAAAACTTTGAGACCGGAAAAACAGTTTTCACCCATGAGGGTTGACGCTAACTTTCCATGGAAGCTGCATACATGTTCTCCTGGCGAGACCTCAAATCATCTTCGTAATATCTATCAAACTATAGATCCTACACATCGACTGGACGTGGATTCTAAGAGTACAATATACACTTCTCACCAGAAATCGAATCAAAAAGCATTTTAATGGCCAAACTATTGTACAATTTAGGATTTTCCAGAGAGGGTTATTTGTGAATAAACGTCCCTCCGGAGCGTTTGCAATGAACGGGCCGGGAGCATGTTGTTTCTTACACGACCACTAGAGCACCTCTAGTGGTAGTGTAAGAAACAACATACACTTTAAAACGTGTCTCTGGGTTGTAATAAGGGAATGAACAATCGGCCTATATGGTCGTCTTTTGTAGGAGGACAGGCTGTGTGAAAACTATGTTTGCAAACCTGACCCCTGTAGGGGGGTCTGGGGGATCCTCCCTGATAAGATTTGTTTTTCTATGTAAACTGCACATTCTGGTACTCTCTGACAAGAAAATAAAGCAACAACATTTAATTAGGCTAACAGGCCAAACAACTTGGTGACATTTGCAGATTTTTGTTTTAAATAAACAAAAGTTGCACGTGATATATTTTCATTCAACTTTAATAGTACATTTTGCAGATAGTGGACAATCTATAGAGAATTTTTACGTTCAACCAACGTATAGCAACATTAAAGGTAGGGTAGGTCAGAATGGAGAAACCAGCTCAAGTGCGCTAGAATGTAGGTATGCAGCCGAAATAAATCTGCCCCTTCCTTCAGACTTCCTTTCAGAGCCCCTCCTCCAACACTCACGAACGCGCACATGACCAATGAGGGCACGAGATAAGTTTGTGCTCGAGATGGAAGGCTGACAGGCAGGTAGGCCTGCCCCTCCAGTTATTTTAGCCGGGCCCTAAAATAATTGGTCATGCTTTTTACAGCGCCACGGCTTCCACAGATTAATTTTATGTATTTATTGTCAAAGCATTTAATGTATTCATTGCTGTCGGGATGTTAAGAGCATTCCATGGAATATAACAAAAAGTGTTTCTGAAGTGAATTACCTACCCTACCTTTAAGCAGACCTTTTGCTTGCTTATTTGAACAACTTCAAAAATTCAAATATTAAGAAACAATGAACTTTAAAAATAAATAGACATACAGTTTTTCTCTTAAATGTATAATTTTCTGCTGTTTACCATCGGTACTTTCCAAATTTAAATGTGGACAAAAAAATGGGCACACACAATTTACACATAATGGCAATGCAATAAATATCAAAACACACTTTTATCTGTAAAACTGACAAAAATGTGCTTATGACTTTCTACTAAGCATCTGGCTGAGTTTCATTAAACGTGTCTTTGACTTTAAGAAATTGTTAAAGAAAAGAAAATGTTAAACTGAACTGTGGTCCAACATAATCTGTAAAAGGATATCACGTTGAGTACACCTTCACTTCTTTTAGGCCCTACAGGTTTATTTACAAATCAACTTGTTGCTTTGTGACTTTTTGAAATCAAATTTAAATGTTTTGCAACCAGTCGAGTTATTACATTGCAGGGCTCAACAACACATAATAACTGATCAGCTTTTAGATGTGTTGATCAAATTGGGGATGACCTAAAATGATGACCTACCTTGACATATTTTCTCTGTGCGGACGGTGCGACTTCTCCAAACCTAGCTTGGTGAAAATTCCTATCAGTGCCAGTATGGCCACGACCCCGCAGATGACATACACAATGAGGTTGGTTTTATCCTTCGAGGACTCCTGCACCACGTCCACTTTGGGCGGGGGTCTTCCGGTCATCATCCACGGCGGGGTGTCGTAGTTCTTGCAAGTGGTCTGGTCCAGCCGGGAACTTTTGAACGCGCAGCAGAACCTGAAGCCACAGGTGCCGCAGCAGTACAGGTAGTTTCCGGTCTGGCACACGAACGGCGGGTCCCACTGGCCCATCACGTCGTAGTAGCCGCGGCACTTGTCCTCCGTGTGCGGGCTCTCCGTCACCTCCCCTTCCTTCGAGTCGTTAAAGCCGGTCACCAGCATGAATTCGTCCCCGGTATGAGACGGCTCGCCCTCCGCGTCGCACACCATAATTTTCACCAGAAAGTATCCGAGCAGCAGCTTAGTGACCCGCATCGTTGATCACTTTGTACTCTGCACTTGACGCCCTGGGAAGCTCTCACAAGCCCGAACGCATCTTCCGAGGAGACGAAACAAAGCCATGCGTAAATGTGTTTAGGCTGGTTCCAACTTCCATGCGTAAAGGCCCAGTGCGCCTTTTTACTTTTCTCTCCTTTTAAAACTAACTGTGTAAATATTGTGCAAAGATATGGTTCAGGCTTCTTCCATTGCAGTAGTTGATAATTGGAAAGGCAGGGCACCTGTCTGCTGGAGGGAGTCACACACCTCTGAGGCGGCTGCTCTCCACACAGATACAGGGAGAGAAAGAGAGAGAGAGGGCGGGAGAAACACAATGCAGAGTGGAATGGACCCTGAAGAGAGATTGGAGAGAGAGAG